TGTAGACAACTTGCAAACATCCCCAAAGAAATTGTAAGTTTGCAACTCAATCTTATATGCAATGTCCTTACTCAAACTACCAATGAATCTTGCAATTGTATGCTCTTTCTCTTTGGGAATATCACTCCTCAACATCAACCCTTCAAACTCCCGAATATACTCTTCAACTTTTCTATCTCCTTGCTTCAAATTATGGAGCTTAAGGTAAAGGTCTTGCTTGTGATTGTCGAGCCAAAACATTTTCTTCAACACTCTCTTCAACTTCTCCCATGACCTAACTCTAGTTTTCCCTTCTCTTTCTCTTTTCTTCCTTGTATTTTCTCACCACAAGGAGGCATAATCCTTGAACTTCAATATGGCAACTTTACATCTCTTCTCATCATTGTAGTCTTTAAACTCAAATACCCGTTCAATCTCATGCAACCAATCAATAAAGTCATTTGGGTCAAGACTTCCATTGAATTCAGGTAAGTCTATCTTAATACCCCTATCAACATCAAATCTTCTCCTCTTGGGTGCCTCAGATTCACTATTCACTAAATGAATCACTACTACTTCTTAAATCTTCCATACATAGTGGTGTCCTAATGATGGTTCTTTGGTGGTAGTGTAGTCGACCTTCTCGTTTGAGCGGTTGTGGGGTTTATTCAAGGGTGGATTTGGGTTAGGATAGGTTAATAATGTCTTTAGACATGTTAACCATTAATTCCATCATGTTGAACATGTTCTTCTTTACTTCATCAAGTTCCTCTTGAATTTTTAGGTTGGCACACTCCCATGGTGTTAGGGGTGAATTTGGGGAGGAAGTGGCCTTATTTGCCATGAGATTGGGTGAGTTTTAGCTACTGTGAATAATAACCTTTTCGAATGTTAGAAAAATGAAAAGTGGGAGGGAAAGGTCAAGTGTATAAGTTCTGGTGATTTTGGTTGAAGTGAATAGTATTTATGAATAGTAGAGATTAAGCTAATTAATTGTGTTTAGGGTTTGGTTAAGGGTTAAAGTTGGTTTGATTGGGAAGGAACGAGTTTAGTTGACTTTGGAGGGAATTGGTTAGGGTTGGGTGAGGTGGCAATGGACTTGGTTAGAAGGAAACAAGATGTAAGGAAGTTGGTTAGGGGAATAGTGTTTGAGGAAAGAGAAAAAGGTTTAATGAAATGCTAATTGGAGGAAAACAATTTCAAGCCAAAAACACTTCCAAATCTGGCAACTCCAACTCAATTTTCCGACCAACCACACACATTCAACCATAAAACAATTATATTCTACTTCACAACCTATGCTCTGATAACAAATGATCCATTTCCAACCAATTTCAGCAACACAACACAACATGCCATAAACCTAAGTTAAAATTCGGCCAAATGCAATACAAGAACAATGTCACACTTACTTGCAATTTCAGACCAAGACAAGTAGAAACACTTCAAGCATAAAGGATTGTTTCACCAATTTGAATTGATTCACCACCAAATTCCCTTGCCAAGACTTGGATAAAGAATGTACAACAAAGAACTCAAAGTTCTCTCAAATGGATAAACCAATTTTCAATATTTCATAAGCTAAATGTTACAAGGAGAATAGTTTCCCTTATATAGGCAATTACAAGGTTAGATAAGTAATTGACAAAATACAATAAAAAGAAATTAACTTAATTGATATTACAAACCATTCATTCAAAAAGCAAGGTCATGCCTGTTTAATGTAAAGAGACATGATTCCCTAATTCTAGGATCTATGTCTTTAATCACCCCATTAGTTGAAATAAACTCACTTTATTAGATCAAAATTTGATCAATGATCCTAATCAAGTTTACTAATAAGGGTGTAAGAGTTTGGGCCTTGAGAATCTTGCAAATGGATCCAATAAGGGTTCATGTGGATCTTTCCCTTTGGAATGAAATTTGGGCCGGATTGGACCACTTTAACACTTGAGCTTCTTTCTTGGTGGCCTTGAGCTTCCTTTGTTGGGCTTGCACTTGGAATGGTTTGGGCCAAAATGCTTGGGCTCTCTCCCTCCTTGGAACTTTTTTGGGCCGAATTTCCTCAATTGCTTTCCACATTCCACTATCAAGTGTTTTAGGACTTGGAATGAAACTCTTTAATTCAACCGAATTAGCAATGTTTTAGGACCTGAACTTCCTTGTCCACTCATATTTACAAGTGTTTTAGGACTTGTAAACGTATCAACAACCCAAACACCCCTTACAATAACACAAAAAAGAAATCCCCACACAGCCACGAAACAAAATTGCAACAAATGATTTTTCAGGTAAGAGAATAAATATTTCTACAGTAACAAATTTATAATCAAATCATCTATACTTCTTCTATTTAAAATCATTTGAAAGAAAATTAACAAAGGTAAAAGCCATAACCAATCAGAACCTTTCCAAAACATGAAAACTACATCAAATAACTCAACAGACTCAAACAAAATACAAAACGGTAATGCATCAACGTTCAACAAGATCAGATATTTTAAGCTACAAGACATATATAACTGGAACTAGATCTAAATGAGATATGGATGAAGAAATTAGAGTTGAATATAGAATAATTTTATATATTTTATTCGTTGGGAGAGATAAAGAAGGAGAGAGAGGAAGAAAGAGAGAGAGGGGACCTGTTGTTGCCTGGCAACTTGTTCTCTTAGCTTCGTGGCTTGTTTTCTGATTGTCTCCATTCAATTCAAAAGCGAAGTGTAAAGTTTTGTATTTTAATTTTAATTTTTGATTTGAATACCTGGAGCTGGAGGACTTAAAATTGAAATGTTGATTTTACAAAGAGAACAGAGAGAGATACATAGTGAGAGAAGCTTTTGAATTGAAATGGCTTAGGTTTGGGAGAGTTGTACCACCATAGAGCTAGTCGTACTTCTAATTCCCTGTCTCAAGAACTCTTTCACAAACGAAATTGTTGTCTCCTTCTTCCCCACTTCCCAATACAATGAAATCACCTTCTCAATCATACCAAACCCTAGATTCAGCCCAACATAGTCCATCCCTAACCTCATGCTCCTCATCAATCAACTTCTTAACCCAACAACACAGAGGAAACCATAAGCTCCATCATTTCTTAATTCTTGACGAAGTTCTTGACGACGATTTTATTGAAAAATAAGATGAATGTGAGGAGTAAGAACATTATACCGATGAATCAGTAAAGGAGAAAATGCAAAACCCATTCCAATTTGTAACGAAATAATATAATTAATAATATTATTAAAGAAGAAGGGTAATTTAGTAATCTATATAACATAACCACTAATTTATTCCAACAAACCAAACACATTTCCCTAAACATTCCAAATAATCTTCAAGATAATCTATCTTTCCATTAATATAACATTCCCAGTAATATAACATTTCCTGAACCAAACACACTTTAGAGGTATAAACTACACTTGTGGGTCCTTAAACCTATGTTGCATTTGCTTTCAGTCTTGAACATCCAAGTTGTTCTTACACAAACTACCCAACAACAACTTCTGGCAACCCATATAACTTTCTAAGTCCTAAAGCAATTATCGAGCCTTAATCTACCAATGCAAGCAAGCACAACAAAGGTAAAGGCGGTAAGAAGGGCAAAAGGAAGAATAGTGCACTTACTTTTGTAAAAGTAATAAAAAAAAGTTGAAACACCAGAAAGTAGTGTCGAAATTTTTGGAGAAAATCATTGAGAATGTCACAGGATGGATTGAAAACAAAGTGTTAGGGTTTTGCACAAGAAACTCACGAAATAAGCCAAAGGTTGTCAATGACAGTTCAAATCTCAATTTATAGAAAAATACTTTTGAGCAGGAGTCAACCCTAACCATTCATCACACCTACGTGGCTGTAATTGAAGGGGAGTAAGAGTTATTATCAAAGGAAACGTAGGGAACTATATCGTCGATGTGTTAGCATTTAATGCGCAAAAAGGGAATGATGTCCTAGCATGCTTGCATTGAATGCATGACAATGCCTGCATTAAATGCCAAGCCAAAAAAAGACAAACCCCATTCTTGAGCGATAAGATTTTCTCATAAGTAGATCGCATTGTCAGTTCACCATGAAAGAGGTCGTGTTAGCAAAACACGGCAGCTCACACTCACATAAGAAATTATCCGCTCATGGTCAAAAATCACACATCGTCAGCTTGGATTGAGAAGCTCATATTCCAAAAACTAGGGCAATTGTTGTGTGAGAAATCTAAAGCGGATAAATCCCTAGTTGACATGCAAATATCCCGTGATATGGATCCCATAATCATGGTCGATGACTGTGCAACTTTCCTGTTTTATTGAATTTGAGTTTATCTACAACTCAACCTTGTAACAGGTACTATATAAACCTAATTATAATTTGTTTTGAGGGGATTCAAGTGAGAGAACCTGAAAAAGAGAAAATCAATCAAATAACTCTTTGTAAATCACACCGTTGATATCATACACTCAATAATGTAATAGTGGACACATATTTTGCATTATAAGCAACCGAACCACTTTAAAAAGTCTTCTTGTTTTATATTAATTATTGCATATATATCTCCATCGTTGATCCATAAGAATTATGCACGCATCTTACGTGGTTCTAACAACGTCAATCACGTACTTTTAGTTGATGTAAATCATTGCATCAACAATTTGGTTTCATACTTTATTATTGATTCTGATTGATTTAAATTTAGTTTTTTTTTTTTAAACTACAAATATAAAGCTTTAATGTAAAAGTATGGAAAAAAAAATGAATTTTTTTTATTATGATTTTATCCTTACTTAAACCTGAAAATTGGTGCTAAAGACAAAAATAGTAGGGGTTAAAATGACTTCCCTTATCCAATTTCAAAACCCAAATCACTTATTCAGGCTCGGCCCAAATTCTATTATTATTTATTCAGGCCTAGCCCAAATTCCATTGGATAGATAGATCCAGCTTTAGTAACGTCTTGACATTTTATCCATGTGGCAACTGGTCAATGGAAGAGTTCATCTACATTCCAAAGACCTGCGCACACGTGATCGTTAAAAAAACCCTACTAAACTCATCTTTATACCTTCTTTCTCGTCTTTCACTTTGCTTTAGCTGCCGCAACCTCTCGCCATCTCGGGCTCCTCTGCTTCTTCTTCATCTTACTTTGCTTAAAGGTACGTTCATAACTGAGTTGGGTTGAGATGGGTTTTATGTTTAATTGTTATTCGAGGCCTTAGATGATGGAAAATCTGAGATCCAGTGTTATGGGATTATACTTTTTGTATTGTTATACAGTTTCTCATCAACCAAACAGAGCATAGTAGTGGGATTTTTTACTTTTTAGTGAGAATATTACTTGAATGCGTGAAATATCTGGGAATTATAAGAATATCTTTTTTTGGGTATTAAATATAATTTTGTTTTAATGTTATCTGATGCATTGATTTGCGGTTGGGTTGTTGCTGTTCTTGCGGATTGAAGATCATTGGCGTGTTTGGTTGCAGAAGGCTGTTCAAAGTTAGGAATTTGTCTTCTGGAAATTGAAAATATTGTTGCATTGTTTCTGTTTTCGGATCTTTCTCGGCTTCTTGCTTACTTTTTAATTATTTTTAGTGATACATAAAACTTAACTGGTAAACAGGTGGATAATATTGAAAATATTGTTGCATTATTTTTAGATGTTATTTTGATTTTTTGAAAATTTTAGATGAAGTAAACTGGTTTCATTAATCTTACAGTAGCTCAGTAGGTCATGTATATTTGTATATTTTGATCGGTTATTATGATTTTTGTAAAATTTTATAGGAGGAAAAGTGGTTTTATTAAGCTTAGTTGTGTGTTCGTACGAAATAAGTCAGTACTTAGTACAGTTGTTTATCAATGGTAGTTTATAATTTATAACCTCCTGATTTCTTTCTTTTTAACATGTTTTTCTCGTCTCTTAAATTGGGCATAGGTGTCTTTCTTTTCAAGTTACAGTTTATAATCTGAAAACTCCTGGTTCTGCTTTTTCCTTGCCATATTGTGGTATGAAGAACATCATCTTACTCCTTGCAGGAACAGCTAAATCTCGGAGATGGGTCGTGTACGTACCAAGACTGTGAAGAAGTCCTCTCGCCAGGTGATTGAGAGGTACTACTCTCGAATGACCTTGGACTTCCACACCAACAAGAAGATCTTGGAGGAGGTTGCCATCATCCCTTCAAAGAGGCTCCGTAACAAGATTGCTGGGTTCTCCACCCATCTGATGAAGAGGATTCAGAAGGGTCCAGTTCGTGGCATCTCATTGAAACTGCAAGAAGAAGAGCGTGAACGCAGAATGGACTTTGTCCCTGATGAGTCAGCCATTAAGACTGATGAAATCAAGGTTGACAAGGAAACCCTAGAGATGCTTTCTGCTCTTGGCATGTCAGACATGTCTGGGCTTGTTGAAGTTGAGCCACAAACTATGATTCCTCCTCCAGTCTTCGGTCGGGGTGCTGGAGGACCTGGTAGGAGGTTCTAAGGTAATTGAAGTTTTGTGGGTCTTTCAAGAATGAGAAGTTTAGATGTTCTTTTGATTCACACTTCTTATGTTTTTTATGGATGATTTCGTGACTAGTTTTGTTCATGGTTTTAAGATGGAAATTTAGTTAAACTTGAATTTGGCAATGACACTTTAGTTGATCTGTTGGATTTGTCTGGTCATATTATATTACATAACATTTTTGGCAGATGTGCTTGCTGAAGTTAATGTGTGAACCTTTGAATTGTATTGTTGAGAGGAATATGTTGTGGATTTGCATGTATGTCAATGCGGGGTAGAACTCATTATAAAAGTTCAGCCTCTAATCAAGTAATATTGACGGATCATTGGACATCTTTTCTCAAATGATGCATATATTTTCTTCCTGGTTAAACTATTGGAGAATAACTCTACATAATTCTTGCTATACCAAATTGCATCAATTACTTGGTACCACAAGTTGTTCCCTAGATACTGCAAAGTGCAAACCTCAGTTGTGTTTCTTTTAAATCCGAATGGAACAATATTAGGTTATTTCATAGTGGCCATTTTTAGAAAATATCACTGTTCTTACTTTCACTTTGTCAAGTGTCTGCCAATCTGTTGATCTGAAAGGCATGTATTATGCACGGCTGTCTACTTCTTGAATCATCTCACCAAGGTCTTCCTACAAAATTGTAAACTGCATAGTTTTAGGTGAAAGCCTTTCTATTTGTAGCAAAATTTGTCATACAAGTTTTTGACTCGGAAATTTTCTTCTACTTTCCAGCATTAACAAGTTAGTGAAGCCTCGAGCTCAATTGGCTATTCATTTAAGAGACTGGTAAATACAGGTTGCATTCTCTAATATTGAAATCATAAATAGAGAAAACAAGTTAACTACACTTAGTGAAGCCTCCACAATATCAAATCAAATGAAGTACGAACTGGCAAGAGTATTCTGGGGAAAATGTTGCGTTATACACTCCAAAGAAGTGTTTTCAAAATATTTTCTAAGAAAATAAAATTGATATTGATAAGTGAAAAGTGCTTTTTTTTTTTTTTTTTTTGGGAAACACTCTCAACTATAATCTAAGTCTACAAGGTTGGTTCACCGATAATTATAGATATCACACTTTAATTTCTTCACAGATTTTACATTTTCTAAATCAATCAGGACATTGTTTTAAAACCTGGCTCGTGAAGAGACCCAGTAAGGCCATTGGATCTCGGGTTGACCGGTTAAACCGGTGGTTTTCGGTGATCTAAAAAAGTTTGATATCTTGCAAACACACCCCTGAAAAATGTCATAAATCCTTATAAGTTTAAAATCTAGCAAATACACCCTTGTTATCGGTTTGGATTTTTATTTTTTTTGGCCAAATTTTGGCTAATAGGCCAAAATTCAATATGACACCACCACCTACACTACTGGCCTCTACTTTACAAAACCCTTCTAACCTTAGAATTAGGTAGCCCCCCGTTCGTTGACCGTGACTTGTTCATTAGGTTGAATTTTTCGACCAAATTCCGGTGTCCAAAATTTAATTCGACATTACCCCTTGAACCACTTGCCTCCACTCTACAAAGCTCCTTTAACCATGGCACTAGGTAGCCCCTCATTTGTCGGCGATCAATTTAGGGATTTTGTAAACAATGGAAAAATGATAACCTAGATCAAAGAGGTTGTCGGGTCCCAGTCGAACTGGCCGGTCTGGGTTTTAGAACAGAGATCAAAACATAATCTTCTTATATATAAAAGGAAAGTTTCATCATGAAACATAAGAAATAGATACAAAACCTACTGTCATTGTACATACATACAAGAAATTCATGAAACATAACAAATAGATATGAAATTCATGAATGAATTATGAAACACAACAAATAAATATGAATGTGATACTCATATTCGAAAACAATTGGGCCGAGCCTATTTTCTAACTGTTTTTTGGGCCTCAGAAGCCCAATTGTACCAATGTACACTAATCTATAAATACAAAATTTTTCAAAAATCAATCCTAAAAGACAACCACGATGGATAACATTTTATCACTCTCCACCTCATACTTCCCTCTCACTACTCCCTGCCACCCCACAACCTCACCCACCACTTCCCTCTCTTTCTCCCTCAAGTCGCCTCCTCCACCGCCACCGTCGCCACCTCCCGAGCCACCCCACAACTCCTCCAACCTCCGCCGCCCTAAATCTCTCAACCCAACCCCTAAGAAGAAAATATTATCTAACCCCCTCAAAAACCTCATAGATTCCACCCAGGTCCCTATCAATAATCCCCTTTCTCTCTCTGCCAAACTCCGCCTCTCCAGCAAACTCTCCCCACCTCCACCACCTCCGCCACCTACGCCGCCCTCATTTCACAAAACCCAAGTGGAAAAAAACGAAATTTCAGAAGAAGAGAATGAACACTGTTCTCCAGAAACAGAGTTTCGGCAGAAAGGAAAGATATTTGTGGGAAATTTACCGAACTGGATTAAAAAACCCGAATTGACGGAGTTCTTCCGACAGTTTGGGCCGATAAAAAATGTGATTTTGATAAAAGGGTATAATGAGTTTGAGAAAAATGTGGGGTTTGGGTTTGTGATTTATGATGGTCTGGTGGCTGAGAAATCGGCAATGGATGCGGTGGAATTCGATGGGGTGGAGTTTCATGGTAGAGTGTTGACAGTGAAGCTGGATGATGGGAAAAGATTGAAGTCTAAGAAAGAGCAGAGAGTGAGGTGGGTGGAGGGTGTGGATGAAGAGGAATTTAGGTCTAACTGGCATAACGAGAGGGAGAGGGACAGGAGGGAGTTTCGAAAGGCGGTGGAGACACAGCCGGAGAATTGGCAGGCGGTTGTTAGTGCTTTTGAGAGGATTAAGAAGGTATAGTTAGTTAGTGTATCGAGTTTTATTTTTAGGAATTTTGAAGACTAAGATATTATTGGCATTCATTTCATGAGCTGTTTTGTTTTGATGTATGTTGAATTTGTGGTAAAACTATTTTTCTATGTTTATTTGTTTATTTATTGTTATAGACCATTGTGTTAATAGTTAGTATGTGAACACTGAATTTGACAGTGAAAAGAAATAATTGTTTTCGTTTGTACGGTACTGTGAAAACATTATAGTTTATAAGTTAGTTGATTTGTGTATATAAATGTACTAAGTCTTAGGACTGGAGAGTTTTCTGTTTCTTCCTTGCTTTTTCCTAGAATATTTAGGTTGAGTTTTGACAACACAGTCAATTCCTTTGATGAGAACATAACATGATGGTTTAGTATTTGTCTGCGAAATATTGAGTTTAAAGTAAAAATTAATGTTAATATATTTGTCAAACATGTTGACTTATTTCAATGTTTCTCTTTCGTTGTACAAGCCTTCAAGAAAAGAGTTTGGTTTGATGGTGAACTATTATGCAAGACGAGGGGACATGCATCGTGCACGCCAAACTTTTGAGAGCATGCGAGCAAGGGGGATAGAACCAAACTCACATGTGTATACAAAGTAATAACTTTTAAATTGTGATATATCCTAGCTTTCACACAACTTAATGTATGAATCAACCTAGTTTTTAGTTTCTTCTGCATTATAGCTAATTTCTCTTGTTAGAGCCCTTCAAATGGAAACATTTGTTTTGGTAAAATGTCTTGAATGCAAAGTTTGCTTTACTGGTTGATGAGTTTGATTGTCTTTAAATGATTTTGGCGAAGACATGTTACATTTATGTTAGAAATATGATGAGATTCCTTCAATGTGGAAATTGTAGTAAACTAGTGAGCTGATTATGTGTCAGTATAATGTCTAGATACCTTCTATTGCTTGTCTTGTTATTTGCATTTTTTTTTTTTTTTTTGTAATTATCTTCAAAATTGGTACATGATTAGATCTGATTAAATCTCACCTGAGTTTACATAGTTGCTTTCTCTCAGTTTCTAGAGGATATGTGCAGTGAATTGTCCCCCTTCAAAATTTAAAGTAGTTTATTTCATGCAGCCTTGTTCACGCTTATGCAGTTGGTAGAGACATGGAAGAAGCAATATCGTGTGTTAGGAAAATGAAGGAAGAGGGCATTGAAATGAGTTTGGTGACTTACAGTATAATTGTGGGGGGATATGCTAAAATTGGCAACACAGAGTAAGTAACTCACATTATTTCCTCCAAATGTGTTTTTTTTTTTTTTCTTTTTTTTAAATTTTATTTCAAGAGTGCACTAAATGCTGGATTTATTACCTGCTAATGTGCCTTGATTTGTATTGTGTAGTTTTTGCGCCAGTTCTAACTGTACTAGGCTTTTTATTTATCTTTGTTTACAGGTTTTTGTTTCAGTTGGGTTTGTGATTATAAAGGAAAATTTGCATATTTACAATCTAATACTATCTGGTCTTGCTGTGGAAGAGCTGCAGGTTGCTGGTTTGAGGAGGCCAAAGAGAGACATTCAACTTTGAATGCAATCATTTATGGGAATATTATATATGCTCACTGGTGAGTATCAAGAATTATTTTTAAATCAATCATATTTTCTACTCTTATACATGTCCCAATGTTCTAATGTCAATGCTGTAAGTAAATAAGCTAAGATGAGGAACTTACTAACTTTACATTGCATTGGTTATTGTAGGTTTAATCATATCACTTCTGGATTGTATAGTAATGTGTTGACGTTATTTTGTGCCCAATGCTTTCCTTTTGCCAACCAAATCATCTTAACCCTAAATGTATGGAGGGACCTTTTGGATTAAATAAATGAAGATTCTTTTTGCTTGAAATTTGAAAAGAACAGATACTTTTTTAATTTTTATTGTATATGTCTATTGGATTAATAGATTGATTTACGCAAATGAGATGGATATGTAATGTTTTACTTTCTATATGACTTCTTCTCTACCTTTTGCATTCACTCACAGTCAAACTAACAATATGGACCGAGCTGAAGCCTTAGTGAGGGAGATGGAAGAAGAAGGTATAGATGCTCCTATTGACATATATCACACTATGATGGATGGTTATACAATGATTGGGAATGAGGAGAAATGCCTGGTTGTGTTTGATAGACTTAAGGTAAAAGTTCATGTGTGGATATAATTTTGTTTGAGGTGATTTATACAGTTCTGGTTTGTTAACGAGTCTTCAAACTGATAATGCTTTTGTCTTTTTGAGGATTTCTGGTCTGCTGTAGTGATACTGGATTAATTTCAATTGATCTTCTTCTTTTTCTTCTTCATTTTTTCATAATCTATTAAAAAGACCAAGTCTAGAAAGATTTTAAATTCAGAGTTTTGCTTCACTGGTTCTTGTCGCTAATCTACATATTCTAGACTACCAAGCAATCTTTCAGAGTGTCCCACCTAGATTAAGCTAGTATACACTGTGTTTACTCATACTGTTGTTGGGCCTTTGCTTACTAGGATGAGTTATTGGTTGTAATTGTTCAACATGATATCAGGTCAAAGTTAGTAATACCGCTTCTGCTTCATCAGCCTAATACTAGACGCCTCTTAAATCCATACCGAGACATGGAAACTAGCGGCTAGTTTAAATGGTTTTGTAAAGCATGGTGCTTAGAAATTTTTTCATAGCTAAAAGTCATGAACAAATTTCATTATCCAGGATGTTGATATATATGTCCCATGGAAAATGTAAGAATCTTGTTGATAATTAAAAATGAGAGCTTAGGATGCATTTATAGTTGTTTTTCCAAGAAATTACAACCTAAGGCGACTGAAAAATAATTGTAGCTTTTACTTGACTCTAATCATGGCAGTACATAATAGCATAGATAAGAGGAGAAAAGGGACTCAAATATGTGTAATAACTTGAGCTCAAGTAGCATCATTACAATAGCTGATTCATAGTAACCGTGTTTCTAAGACAAAATGCTCTGGCATCTATTATTTTATTGTCTGCCACCGTTCATATTTTCATTACATTAATTGTATGAATATGTTTGTATACTAACTACTTTTATAACTGTGCTGTAGGAATGTGGATTTACACCTTCAGTTATCAGTTATGGATGTCTCATTAATCTTTTCACTAAGGTATGCCTTCTCGTTCTGACATTTCAGGTTTCCCTGATTATCAAAAAGGAGCATTTATCTTCCCATTGCTGCACAGTACCTAGGGAAAGGTTATGCCATAACTTAAAGTGTTAGTGCTCAGATGATTGCATTGTAATTGTGTTGTGTTTGCTTTTGTACTGTTGTCTTCTCTCTCTATATTGTCCTCTCTCTGTCTCTGTAATAATAAAGAACTGCGAGTGGCTAAATTTTTTATGGATATGTTTAAGTACTGCTTCTATATACTTTGGTTGGAACATCTGTGACAACTTCGAAACTGGCTCACAATTTTATTACCATTTTTGTTATTGATCTAGTTTTTTTAGTTTATGGTGTCATAGGTCCATGCTGTAATAATCTTCTTGATACACTTTATCTTACTATTGGTGATCATACATTATTTTGAGAAAATTTATGCTGCTCTTTCAGATTGGAAAAGTTTCTAAAGCCTTAGAGGTTAGCAAAATGATGTTATCTTCTGGCATAAAACATAACATGAAGACCTACTCCATGTTAATCAATGGATTTTTAAAGCTAAAAGATTGGGCCAATGCATTTGCGGTTTTTGAGGATGTGGTTAAAGATGGTTTGAAGCCTGATGTAGTGCTCTATAATAACATTATCAGAGCATTTTGTGGGATGGGTAACATGGATCGTGCCATTCATGTTGTCAAGGAAATGCAGAAGGAAAGGCATAGGCCTACCACTCGTACATTTATGCCCATCATCCATGGTTTTGCAAGAGCTGGAAAAATGAAAAGTGCCTTAGAGATTTTCGATATGATGAGGAGAAGTGGATGCATTCCTACTGTACATACATTTAATGCCCTGATTCTTGGCCTTGTTGAGAAGCGTCAGGTACACTCTGATAAACTGAAAGTATGGGAGCTTATTTTGTCAAATATGAGATTATGTATATATAAGTAATGTTATTCTTCACTATCATGGAACATGCCACTGGAGCCAAATACTTTTATAGTGCACCCTGAAAACTTGTGTACTTTTTGTTTGATTCCTAATGCCTAGTTATATACACAACCCTGTGGCATGTGTCCTACATTGTATCAGACCTTCTCTGTCTTTGTAGTAGTATATTCTTATTGGCCATAACTGTATCATATGTGCTGTCACCTGGAATAATGATGGATTCCACCTGACTTGGAGACTACATGTTGAGTAAATTACTGTTTAACTCTTCCACCTGAAATAGTCTAATTTATAATTTATCTCTTGCAGATGGAGAAGGCCGTTGAAATATTGGATGAGATGACACTGGCGGGCTTAAGTCCTAATGAACATACATATACGACCATCATGCATGGCTATGCATCGTTGGGTGATACTGGGAAAGCATTTGAGTACTTTACAAAATTAAGAAATGAGGGTCTGGAGCTTGATGTATACACGTACGAGGCACTACTTAAGGCATGCTGCAAAGCAGGCAGGATGCAAAGTGCTTTAGCAGTCACAAAAGAAATGAGTGCTCAACAGATTCCACGAAACACCTTCGTCTATAACATATTAATTGATGGGTATGGATTGTTAATAATCACAGAATACAGAACAATTTAATCAAATTCATCAATTCAATCTCGGTTTCAGCTCATCACCCTTATTTTGGTGGATAATTGTATTATGATTGAACATTATATCTCCAAGTCTGTCACATATTTTCCTCAGAAGTTTTGTTGGTTATCTCATTTGTTTGTGGTGTCGGTCTCTTAATTCCAATTTTTTTTCCTATTTTCTTTCTTATGTAGATGGGCACGAAGAGGTGATGTATGGGAAACTGCTGACCTGATGCAACAAATGAAACAAGAAGGGGTTCAACCTGATATCCATACGTACACGTCTTTCATAAATGCATGTTGCAAGGCTGGAGACATGCAGGTATGGTTCTATATCATGTTGTTGACAATGATTTTCATACTTTCGCCATCTACTTGTAGATAGATTTATCAGTTATTCCATTTTGAACTTTTTAATTATGCAATTTATTTTAATTAGAATGAATTTTATTTTCAGAGAGCAACAAAAACAATCGAAGAGATGGAAGTTATTGGAGTGAAGCCAAATATTAAAACCTACACCACACTAATTCATGGGTGGGCACGTGCATCTCTTCCAGAGAAGGCTTTGAGTTGCTTTGAAGAGATGAAGTTGGCTGGGTTGAAGCCAGACAAGGCAGTATACCATTGCTTGATGACATCATTGCTGTCCAGGGCGACTGTTGCTGAAGCTTACATTTATTCAGGAGTGTTATCCATTTGTAAAGAGATGATAGAATCTGGTTTAACTGTCGACATGGGGACTGCAGTTCACTGGTCCCGGTGTTTGCGCAAGATTGAGAGGACAGGTGGAGAGATTACAGAAGCCTTACAGAAGACATTCCCGCCAGATTGGAACTCGCACCATTCTCTTGGAGCAAATTCCAATAATGATTCTGATGATGAGTCTGACATTATTGATGATGACAGCAACTTATATTTTGCTGGTGGGACCGATGAAAATGATGATCAAAATGATGACGAAAACGATTTTAAACAGAGGTTATTGCTTTAACTTGGAAGTTATATATGCTCTTCAGCATTGTTAATCTCAAGTTGTCAACACATCTTGTGTTTGCATGGGGCTGCCATTAAAGTATCTATTCCAGGCTCCTACAGCATCTTGACTTTTGAAGCTGAGGGTTCACAACGTTGAGATCTTATGGGTTTTGAGTGTTCATAGTTTGCGCAAAAGTAGAACTTGTGGAAGAGCTACTTAGTGAAGAACTGCTCATTGAAGAACTGGAGAGGTTTTGCTTTAAGCACCAGCTTCTTATTGTATAACGATCATGTAGATGGATCAAATAGTGTTTCACCCTGGAGGAAAACTGTGGCTTGCTTGCTTTACCACAAGATAGGTGTTCATTCAAGCAAATTTTGTAGAAAACTGATCTCGGTTGATATATCATGTTTGATCCAGAGGTACCGTCAAGTTTATTTCGCTATAATTTTCTTATTATTTTACCTTAGGAATATATTTCTAAATATGTTGTGTTTCGAAACTCCCCTAGCTTTAGCAATTCAGAGATGAACCTGTTGTTGCTAGCTACTTTTATTAAAGGATAAAGTAACATATTTGAATCCAGAAATTCCATAAAGTTTATTTTTAATTACCAAACGCATAACTTACATCTATATCAGCTATTAGAACAATTCTTCGGTGCCATTGATGCATGTACACCTAGCGGTGTCAGTCGAGTTGAGCTGCTGGCGAGCGGATTGAGCTCAGCTTGGCTCGGCTACAGTGTTGAGCTCGATTAGTTCAAAACTGGACTTGACTTGATTCTTATTACACCCGTCCAATAAAGGAGTGTGTGTTATACAACGTGTGTTGATGTGGTACACCCTCATGGAGTGGTTGTACGTTGTTATCAGGGAAGAATTATTCTATTAAAAGAGAAAAAAATGGTTGTAACATGAGAAGAGTTTGGCATGCATGAAGTCGGATCAGCCCATATTAATATTGTGTGTCATGACATTGATATAAGCCTTAAATCTTGGCGTTTGTGTTGATGATACATACAATTTGGACTGGACCCTTATTTTCTTCTGTGACTATAAGGCCACTGCCACGCCAACTAGTGAGCTCCAGAACTACGTGTAAATTAGGTGTGTGATATTTGGAATGTGGGCTCCAATGAATGGAATGTTATATGTGTCTGATATATGAGAGTTGTATGAGCAACATTGACTGCAATGTCTAGTATAAGTATAATAGTCTAGCTGTTGGATGTACTAAGCCAATGTCAATTTTTATTTTATTTTTTGTTCATGCTATATTTTTTATTTTTTATTTTATAAATATCAATTATTATTTTAATAGATAATTGAAATTCCTGAAAGTATGAGGTGATTGAGGGTAAAAAGGTAAAGATGTGTCATCATTTCTTTTCATTCACGTCTGTCACAAATCAAGGTGCGATTATGACTTCCTAAAACCCCTTGGATGTGTTGTTACTTTAACCAAACTAGGAGGGCGTAATTACCATTTCTATACAATTTTTATGTGCCATAAGCAAAAAAATTGGGTACAATCGGATCCAGCGGATACCTGTGGTTCCAATTCCTACCCGAAACTGACCCTCACAAGGTTGGTTCCGGTTCTAAAAAATAAAAACCGGTATTATGCTATTCGGTTTTGGTTCCGCCACTATAGGAATTGGAATCAGAACCGAGACCCAAATAGGAATCGAGACTGAACTGTAATTTTTATAAACTTTTGGGGGTGTCTTTACAATTTTTGGGGTGTATTTGTCATTTTTGTGAATAGTAGGAGGTAATGAATTTTTTTGGGTACTCGAAATCGAAATCAAAACCTGTGTTTTAAGTTCCGGTTTCAGTTAAAAATATTAGGAATTGGTCGATTCTAGTTCTAATTCCAATTCTGGTTCCGGTTCCGGTTCCGATTCTATGGGATTTGGGTGGATGACCGAACCTATCCACCCCTAGCCCTAGTGACATGTGGGGATATAATACCCCCTTGTAGTTTGAACTAATTTATACACACCCAAGATTTTGTTTATAGTAATAAGTATACCCAAAACTTTGACGGATCACCCAAATGAATGACGCACCCAAGGGTTTCCTTTTTTTTTTTTCAAAAGAAGAAGATTTTGGCGTTATGTTTGTAGGTTGTAAGAGATTTGAAGAAGAACAAGTGATTTTACTTATTTCATATATTTAAAATAAAGTTTGATTGAATAGAAATTGGTGAGAATGTATAATGAGACAAAGAGAATAATCGTATTTTTATCATAACTGTTCAAATTTGATTAATATCCGTCAAATTTTTGGGTGCATTTGTTACTATTCAAAACTCTTGGGTGCCATTCGGTGGGCCAAACTGCAAGGAGGTAATGTTTTAACTTATAACCCCTGCAAAAAAGTTGATATTGATTCAATGTATCACATGATTCACATCATCAATTACACAGCTTTAAGATTTTCCCTACTAATTATAACCACAATTCAATCTTTTTTCAAAAACTTTCTAAATTCGAAAACCCTATAATAAGATTTATGACGTTAGAATTATGCTTTATACACCTGGATTTTCAAACTTGTAGACATTTAATAGTAATAAATGTAACTCAATGCATAACATAAATGATGAGATAATTACATTTACCCCCCTGAAGTTTGGTTCCAGCATTTAAACTATTAATAGATGTTAACCCATTAAAGAGTAGAATAGGTAATTCAATTGTACATGTTAGAGCACAACGGATAATTCTCTATTAATTCATTTGTCTCTACGTAAAATATGTAATTTCAGTGTTATGATTTGATTAACAATTATTAGTTTGATGGGGGTATTTCCTAATATTTGAAAGGTTAGGACCTTAATAGGGACTAAAAGTTTAGGGTGGTTAAGTCATTCTCTATATGAATGATATTGACAAAATCAGAGCCTCATTTGCAAAAGTGGAATTTTGCTGTGTTTGTTTGTTTGGTTTCATAATTACAACGGTTACTGAAGCTTGTTTTTTGTCATTTTGTTAATTTGTATTTTCTATTTTTATATATAATATTTGCACACCTTTCAATTGCCACTGCACTCACTAAAATCCAAGTTTATTAGTTTTTTACCAGCCCATCTTTACCCATAGTTTTCAGATACCCACAAAATTACCATATTGCTCCTTTAACTTTTTTTTTTTTTTTTTTTTTTCCAACTCAATTTATTTTTAATTAATTTTATTTTTTATTGAACTCGACCGAACATTCGACCTAAAAGTTTAAATTACTAGATTTAATAATATAGAGCTTTTAATTTTGGTATTATATTAAATAATTAATGTTTACATTTAACAAATAAAAAAATTTAACCGTTGTAATCGGTTGCTTAAATATTTAAAATATTTTTATGATATAACCATTTTAGGGATTTTGAACTTAATAGTTGTTTAAGAATCATTCTACTTGAAAACTAGGTTCCCTCACTTTATTATTTACTCATATTTTCCTATAAATAAACACATTTTTAACACTACCCTCATTAGATCTTAATGTTATGGCTTCACACATTTCTCAAAAGCCAAAGCAAAATCAAGAGTATAGTATTGACTATCAAGTCATGAGCGAGATTGATTCTGGTGTTGAGCAACTCCGCGGGGAGCTTCACCGATCTCTTGATCTCAATCATCCGGTACTTAATCCGACTCCGATAGAACTAAATAAACAGTCTCTTATTTGCAATGATAATGAAACGGTAATATTCTTGTTTCTCTTTCCATAATTTAATGTTTTAATTTTCTTAACAATTGTTTTCCCTAATTTACCTAACTATTTTCTTATTTTTTATCTCCGCCTACATATGAGTAAAGCTGTGTACGACATCGGATATTTCACACAGGTCCACCTGAAACAATATCAATGAAAAAATTAGTTTTTTTTTTTTTTTTTTTTTTAATCTCTATCTATATATGGTTAAAACTATGTAGATCGCCGGACGTTTAACACAGGTCCACCTGAAACACTACCGATAAAAAATTAATATCGATTTATCTATATATAGTACTATCTCTCTTTTGTACATGTTCGTATTAAAAAGTTACGCTGATTGACAACTCTTTTTGAAAAGAATCCTAAAACATAGAATTCTTTTTGAACTCTCATCAACACTCGACGAAACGACTTTGGACAAAATTTTGTCTTTTAGTCAAATTTTTACTCAAAAATTGAGTTATATTTATGTCACAAAAGAATTTATTTATTCTTGTAGATATATATAATAATACACTAACTTCTTATGTTGATTTTTTTTCTTATCTAGGTTGAAAAAGGATGTCCTATGCAAGTTGATGGTGATGATGAGAAGAAAAGAAATGATCTGGACTTGAATCTAACCCTAACACTTCCAGGGCAGGACTCATCAAAAGATGAATCCCCAAAGGATCAATCACAAGTCCCATCCTCCTCCTCCTCCTCCTCATCATCATCATCGTCAGAGTCAGAGTCATCGAACTCGTCCTCATCATCATCACCATCGTCTCAACGTTCATGCATGTCCCTAGACTTGAGCATGGTAGATAATCAAGAGCTGGACCGAGAAAGCACAAACAAAAAAGATGAGGACAAAGTGCCATCGTTGATTTTGATGGGGTGCACCCACTGCATCATGTATGTGATGGTTTCTGAAGCTGATCCCAAGTGTCCAAAATGCCAAACCTCAATTCTCCTCGATGTCTTTCGTGAGAAACCAGCCAAAAGATCAAGAATCAACTAGTTTTCTTCTCATAATTTTAATTATTATGTATTAAGTTTGTTTCGGTGTCTTTTGTTTTTGTTAAGTTTGTTTTATTTATGTTTTTGTTGTTGTGTTTTTGATGTTGTTATAATGAAATATTTGGTTTTTGTTGAGTAATCTTTTATATTAAATAGTTTGTGTTGTTGTGTTTTCTCTATTTTATCATTTTTTTTTTAAATTTATATCATAAAACGTGTTATATTTGTTTTCTTTATCATTTTCGTTTTTTTAAAATAGAAATTATGGAGATCAGATAAATAACTTGAATTGAATACAATGAAAACATATTAAAAAAGTTGTTTTTATGTTTCAATTATCTACCCATCACAATATTTTATATTTATTTTAAGAAAACCATTACAAATGCGTTTCATAGTTTCATCTTGGAAAACTTATATATTTAGAAAATACCATACAAAATCAAACTTCGTATTATCAATTTCAGGATTCATTTTTTAAAACAAACATACTAGAAACAATAATCAACCTAACCTTAGTTTCTAGTATACATGAGAGAAAGATAAGCTTGTTGTAAGAGTGCGTTTTAAATTAGTTTCGGAAATAAAAATTAGAATATAATTTAGTGCTTAATTTCCAAATCTGAAATGTGTCTGATAGATTTCTAAATTAAGGGACTGCATTTAAAATTAAAATAGGAAGCAATATTTATAATGAGTAAAACAATAAATTTATCCTTTTCTTTTCTTTAAATGGTTATTAAAAAAAAAAAAAAAATGAAAACACCAAAATAATGTTTCAAGTTTTCTTCGTAAAACAGTTGTAACATATTCCAAATAATGTCATGCAATAAGTAGAAAACAGTTCATGCAATGC